GGTGTCACTTCCTCCCTCTAGGGAGTCCTCTTGGCCTGAATCTAAGCCAGTTACCTCTGATTCTCATGCTGGGACCCACAGGAACCATTCTTGTATCATTTGGCCTGCCAACCTGGGAGCTCAGATCCTGAGTCAGCAGTACCTCTCTGCCATTAGGGCAGCAAGCTCTTTGGATTTGTCAGGTGTGAATCAGATGCTCATCCACTGTGGCCCAAGCCCACCAGAGCCACAAATTAAGCTCACTTAGGAGTCTCTGTAAAGCCTCACTCTGTAGATTTGACATGAAGGCAATATTTGCATCTCCTATTTTATTAAGGATCATTGGACCCCAAAGACAATTCCTAAAATTCCTCCTAAACTTCCAAAAACCTTCTTTTCAGCCTCTCGGAAGAGAGGCACAGACCCAGGCTTTTCTAAGTCCTGCTGGGTGTCTCCTACTTCACTTTGGAATCTGATATCTATTAACTCAGGGCTTCAACTGCAACCCAGACTGGAAGAGTTCCATTTCATCATGCTGTTGCCCAAATTTGTTTTTATGAAATACACAGAGGAGTGCCTGGCAAAGAGTACACACTTAACAAATGATGGTTATGTATGATCCAAGCTCAGGGGCTCTCTATTTATATTCATTTCATAACCATTATATTTGGTTTTATTCCCATTACTTTGTTTTATACTTTATGAGTCTCGTGTTTCCTGAACACTATGTTTTTGAGTGTGTATGTGGAGATTATTTGCTATTATATTCAGCAGCGATTTGGAAAACAGGCATATTGTTTTCTACTGATGGTTACTTATATTTTTTCAAAGATAGCCAAGTGCCTATTTATCTCATTTTAATCATTTACAATGGTCTTTGTATATGCTGTAGTTATTTAAGTAGGGATCACAGAGGGCACCGTCTAGCCACTGACACACTACTGTCTTACCCTGATATCTACCTAACAACTTTGAAAAGATATTGGACTTTGGTTTAGGGCCTGCTCATCTGGGTCCTGGTGCTCAAAAGGGCATTCAGTCTCTTAAATCTACTTCATTCAAAATTCCCAGCAAAGGCTGCTTAGTGAGCCATCCTCTAAACATAGAATTGTGGACTTATCCAATTCCCAACAGAGAGACATTCTGTTCCTACCCCTGCTTTTTCATCCCTCCTACCCCACGTTTCCCAGTAGCCATCTAGCGATTTCCAGTACCACTAGCCTTGTCTCCTCTCACCCTACTCCTAATTCTGTCTTTCTAAAGCTTACATCTGGGCACTTGATTCTTAACTTAAAACCCTATAGTGATTCCTCATTGACTATAAGATAAAATCCAGCTTGGGATGCAGGGTGACAGATGATCTGGCTCTAATTTAACGTTGTAGGTCCACTTACTGCCACACCAAACCACTCACCCAAATGGCACCAAACTGGTTCCACCCTGGTTTTCAGGTACATCGATCATGCACTCTCATGTCCTCATGACTTTGTTCATGTCCTGCTTTGGAATGAGCACAGTACATGGCCAATCATAGAATCTTGGTGACTGTTAAGTTTTCCCCATCCTTTGTTGTCAGCCTATGAAAAGCCTACTCATTCTTCAAGGCCCAACTCAACTGTTAACCTTTTCTATTTATAGGCAAGCCTTCTCCTAATGTGACCTAACTTCTTCCAGTACCACTGACTGCCCCTCCATATGTGTACACCTATATTATAACATCAACACCTTGATGCTGATATGGTTGCTATTTCTCCCTGTCTCCATTGCCAGACTGAAAGCTCCTTGAGAGCAGTCCTGCACCTGACCTCTGCCAAAGCTACCTCAGCCCTGCATTGGCCTTTGAGTCCCGTATAGTTTAGTTCATTTTGATTTGAATTGCCTTCCTCAGTCTTCAAGGCTACAATGCCAAACTACCATGTGGGGCCAAATCTGAATAGATATATTTATTATTCATATCCCTTTGTTTCCACACTCAATAAAAATGTTACCTTAGGGATATAAGATGTAAGCCTACACATGAAAGTGACAAGGTTCCAAATGCTCATCACCCTCCCTGGGGGAACTGGTCTTGTTGATGTGAGTTGGCATTGGTGTCCTCAAATTCAGGTGACAGATGATAGGGTCTCCTTCATTCTCCCTCCCAAAGGATTGCCATGTCTGCAGATGCCTAAAATGCAATGGGAAAATTTTAAATCATTACAAATATCTCATTCTTGCAAGATTTGGACAGGTGGTAAGGGAGGTGTGTTGGGATAGCTGTGTGGTAGTGTTCTAGCAGAGATGACCTTGTTCCTGGGGCTTATTTTGAAAAGTTTGGACATCTTCTTCAAGGTCACCATATAGCTCAGTTGTAAAAAATGCAATGTTTAACTATAGCCTAATATAATAATTTTCATATGACTTTCTGGAACTTTTTGGTGGTAGGGATTGAACCCAGAACCTAGTGCATGCAAGGGAAGCACTCTACCAACTGAGCTATATCCCTAGCCCTCTGGACCTTTTTGATAAAGTCAAGGACATAAACTTAAAATGTCAACTAGGGAAGCCATGTGAGTGAGAAAAAATTTGAGTTGAGTGTGCACACACACTCTTAGAGTATGCACACCTCCCCCCACATATATCAACACATGTTCAACAAATGTTCATGTTCAGACCTGTTCCAGTTGCAGGACCATCTCTCATACACATTCATATATACTCTTATCATATAAGCATATAGTCCCCCTCGCTCTCTAACATCCCATGTACATACACATAGGCCTTCTTGCACATGTGTGCACATATATATGCATTTACCAGCACACAGACCCATTGTTCCCTCACATCCTGTGTGTGTACATACAGCCTCTGCACGAAGGGACATGGAGAACTGTCTTATTTCTGCACCTCTTTCTACCTCCAGATTTTGCTCCCTTAGGACAGCCTAAAGTGTCTATTTAATAGATTCAATTATTCCAGGCTCCTGAGACCTTCCAACTTAATTCTGATTGCTTTAAGGTGTCAGATAATTTGGGAATAAAGGGGTGAAAACAGACTCAAATTCTTGAAGAGAAAGTCTTCTAGGCTGTAATCATCTCTGAAGAGGTAGCTGCTGACAGCTGCTTTGGGAGGATTGGCCTGGAGAAAAGGGTCTCCAGGGATCAAAGCAACTGTCTTCTTTCTTTTAGGCATGGCTCTGTCCTGAAGAACAGAGGCTTCCAGGGAGGGGTTTTACTGCTGTGCTTTGGCCTCCAAGGCAGGGCCTAATCCTTTCTGCTGCCTTTCCAGGGAGACTGGGTGAAAACAGAGGCAAGGCAATGGCCCTGCTTTCTGCACTGCACCCTACGCCCACGTGGTTTATTTTGTCTGTTCTGTCTGCAGTGACAGTCATGGCTCTTGAGGCTAATAAATAATCAGAAATAACAGTGTTTAAATAATGTCACTGCTGTGCCAGACAGAGATAGATCAGACCAGTCCTATGCTCCAAAGCCTGGAGAGGAGGCTCAGGGTGTGTGCATGTGCACTTTGTGGTCTGATATGCAGGAAGAAGCTGAAAGTAAGGGCTGTGGACCCAGACTCCTTGCATGTGAATGCTAGCTTCACCATTGACCAGCTATGGGACTTTGTGCAAGATCCTTGATTTCTTTGTGCCTCAGTTTCCTCCACTCTAAAAGGGAGATGATAATAGTACCTAGCTCTTAGGGTGATTGTGAGGATTAAACAAGCTGTAGTATGCAAATAGCACCTAGAACAGCTTCAGTTCCTGATGCTCAGCAAACGTCCAAATATGTTGATTATTGTGTTTGATAGTTAATGGGCCAGACAAGGCAAGGCTGAGAAGCTTGGGGAGTCCTGGGGTGGGGATGCTGGCTTGGCCCCAGGGCAGGGGATGAGACCCCTCCCTCAGGCCTGCTGGCAGTTCCCACACTGTTTTCTACCCGGTCATGATAGCACCAGAGGATCCCCCACGGATACTCTTCTGGCATGGTTGGTTGCTGAATCCAGGGTGAACATGAGGACACTAGAATGTTGTGCAGGGACTGTGTTCCTCTACAAACCCTTCCCTAGACCCCCTGCTCCCTATCCCCAGGCCCCTGGCAGGCCCCTCAGCCTACTGTGTTGCTGGGTGCCTGGCCTCTCCTCCCTGCTTCCACCACCCTGTCTTCCTTAGAAATGCCCTGTCTAGTATTAAAAGGGTCCTATCACAACCTGGACCACATCAGCACTCAGACGTTAAGAGGATCTTTGCTGAGAAGTTTTTCCTCCCATAAACTGGCCCATAGAAAGGTTTTTGGAGGGCAGAGATGCTGGTTCAGTTTCAGCTCCATCACTTCCTAGCTTCGTGTCCTTAGGTATTTTAACAATCTTGGGACTTTATTCTCTGGGAAATGGGTAAAATATTTACCTCTCAAGGGTACTGTGCTGATTAAATACTATCACTTTGTAAGAGCTGGCAGTGCAATAGACCTTGACTGCTGCAGCTTAGACGTTAGGTAGCCCTGCTTGAGGAAACACCTTCTTTGGCTTTGGCTCCCCAGGTGGGCAATGTGAGACATTCTTGATGTGGAGAAAGCTCGCCTGCCTGTGTGCTCCACCTGGAGGTTCTCAGGACCTCTCTTTGCTCTACCGGCGTCCCCCTCCCTTACCCCCTGCCCCCGCCCAATCTGAGCAACGGTTTCTCATCCCTTAGTGGAGATATGTAGGTTTTCGAATCCTCCCGCATCATAGAGAAAGAAACTAAGGCTCGGAGGCCTGGAGACCGACCTGATGCTGGCAGAGCCTTTATTAGCCCTAGATGGGCGCCGGCGCGGTACGCGAGCTCTGATCCCTGCGATTTCAGGGAAGGGGCCGAGAGCGGGCCTGGGGGTGGGGTCTCCTCCAGGGCGGGGCCAGGGAGGCGGGGCGGCCGCGGCTGCCACGCAGTGCTAGGGCCCTGGGCGCTAGAGGGGGTGCCCAGCGTTGAGGGCGGCCTCTCCCGCCTCCACGCGCGCTCCCGCCAGCTCCCGCCCGTGAGCCTGCTGCGGCCCGGCGCACTCCCGCCGCTTTGCCCACCGCTACGCGCAGACAGCCGCTCGCAAAGCCCGCGGCTGGGGCCCTGGCGTGCAGCGCGGGCCTCGGCGGGGCCCAGCGCCCCGGCCTGGGAGGATGCGGCCCGAGGCGGCCCAGGAGCTGAGTAGGGCCCCTGCGTCGGCCCCAGCTGGTCCCGGCTTCCAGAGCCGCAGCCGCCGCCCCGCCCCCGAGAGACATGACTTCCAAGCCGCATTCCGACTGGATTCCCTACAGGTATGCGGGCGCCGGCCCCCCTTCTTTTCAACTCGCGGCGCGGGCAGGCCCACCACCCTCCAACGCTGAGGGCGTGGGGCAGGGTCGTCCACCACTTGAACTCGGGACGTGGGGCCGGCTGGGGGCACTGGGCAGCTCTCAGGACACCTATACTCTCCGCATCCTTTCCAACACTGGGGACGCGAGCTGGAGGCACGAGTCTTTACTATACCCCAACTTTGCCGGAGCCCACCTACCCTTCTTCACTCCCTAATCGGCCCTGGATGCTGGAAGGGGCCCGTGGCCTTGTTGGGTCCAGCAGCACCATGTGGCCGCCAGGGGAAGGAACGCAGACTGCTGTGAGCCCCCTCCTAGGCCTGGCACCCGGGTCACACGCCTGTATAGCTTGCATGCACAGACCCATACATCTATGTTTGCACCTACAGGACGTCCTCGCTTTGAGCCAGAAATTTCCCTGCTGGTTGATTTTATATACTCAAAGCATGAATTTGTGAAGACAGCTATTCTGAACCCAAACCACATGGGGTTCATATGCACATGCACCTGTATATCTCTACAGACACCAATTTTGGGGCTCACACAGGTGCATGCCTACCTATCTGTGTGTACACATCCTGTATCTGGAGAATACCTGACATTTATTACCCCTCACAAGTATTACCATGTTTCAGGGACTTGTTAAAAGGATGATACCTGGGTGCACACCAGCTCACAATACATAGAACTGCCCTCAAATGCACAAAAGCACTAAAGAACCCAGGTACACTTAGGGAAGCCAACCTCCCTCTGTTCCCAGACACTGTGATCTGACCCAAGGATGTCCTGGCTTTTCTTCTTGTGAGAGGGTTGGGGGTTAATCTGAAATCCTCACACAGTTTCAGGCTTTCCCCATCCTCTCTATTTCATTCTATTACCAGGGAAAGGAGCTCATTGCCATGGTAGCACCAGATCCTTGTCTACCCATTGGCTCCTTGGTTGCCATGGACTACGGGGCTGTCTCTAGGCTTCCTGGAGAGGCAGGAGTGTAAAAAGGGTGCTGGACTGCTAAGGCCCACTTTTTATTGCCAGTCCAGGTGCACCTGCCTTTAGGTGATAGGACCAGACCCTCAGGACCAACATTATAACCCAGTGCTCTAGGAAAAGAGCCTGGATTCCAGTCACTAACAGAGAGTAATTCTGACAGCTCTCTTCTATGAGTGTCCAGTGTCCCAAATAGAAACCAGCTGAAACTGCCTGAGGCTTGTTAAAAGCAGACCTTTCTTCAAACAGGCACCTGTCACTGGCTTGAGAATTCAGGATTTCTCTTGAGAATTGTTGTTGGCCTCCAATCTCAGCTCCTGTGGGGGTTTCAGGGCTTCCCAGGTTATTTTGCATCCCAACATCAACACACATACACACACACACACACACACAAACTTGTGCCAGGTGTCACCCATAGAATCTCCTGGAGACATGTACATACACATCTCATTCTCACATGCATCAGGGAGACATGGGGCTGTGCTGACTCAAAAGAGCATTTACCCTGGACAGACATCCAGTTTAGAGGCATAGGTAGTTTCTGGATTATCCTGGCCTTTCTTGGCACATGTGAGTGGAGGATCTTATAGAAGATGAGTATTGCTGATCATTTTTAAGCCCCACAGAAGTGCCTTGGTAGTGCCCGTGGACTGAGTGGACTCCAGTGTTGTGGAAGTAACCTGTGAGGGAATCCAGATGCAAGGTGGTGGCCAAAGACTGAGGAGAGTTGGAAGGGACAGCATATGGCTATAGGGATGATAGTGTGTTTAGGATCTGGCACATTGAAGGCTGGGCTGAGCCAGGCCAGGTCACAAAGAAGCTTCTTCCAGGGAGCCAGGGACTAAAGTAATTTGTAGAGCTAGTGCCTGGTTCCTTGGGAAAACCTGCCTCATTCTAGGGAGGTTTTATCCTGTTCCTAGTAAAGGGGACCCCACAGAGGTAGGGAAATGACTCTGTCCTCCAACAAGTGCCTAGGACACTGGTATCCTAAGCAAGAAGTAAATGGCACTTGATCAAGCTCAGGTCCAATTCCTCCTCCCACACTCAGCCTAGAGCACCAAATCCTGCCATCCTAGAAGCCTAGCTGTGAGGAGCAGCTTGGCACCTTTGCAGTCCTACACTGCTTGCTTTCCTTATTCTTCTGTCATCCTGCTGTCTTGTTATGCAGTAAGGAGGTAGGTATCAAACTGGAGGTGGGCTGTAGTCAGAAGTTTCCAGGATCCCTCCTGCCCTGCTTGCTGGGTATTTCTGGGAGTACAGAGTCTGGAAAAACATTGAACTAGGGGGGTAGAATTCTGCAACGGAGAGACTTGTATTCAGAGAAGGAGTTTCAAATTGTCTCTTACATTAACTGGGCTGCTGATTGCAGGAAAAGCCACAAGCCTGTCTGATCACAGAGAAAACTGGGGCAGAAAACAGACAAGACATTTTATTTGCAGCTGGGGGTGGGGAAGCTGCATGTGTGCATGTGCTTTGACTGGTACGAGGTTTCCCTAATGTCCCAGCTTGTCAGAATTGGAATGTGACATTTTGTTTGGGAGAGAAGGGTTGGCTGACATCTTGTTAGCTCTGCTGGTGGGGTTTTACTCTCTCTGTGGTGGTTGCATCTTACATTCCCTGGGTCTAGCTCATTTTCTTGAAAGTAGTGATAATTGGTGATAATCTTCTTATGGGTAATTTTAATTCAGTTTATAATGATCATGGATTAATCTCACATTCTGACTTAAAGCCGTTTAGTTTATAAAGTTGAACAAAAAGAATCATTTTTGCCTTTTATTTTTTCTACTACTATAGTAATTTTCATTTCTGCCATTTATTTTTACCTGTATCCTTTAAAAAATTTTAGAAATTTTGGTGTATTAGTTATACATAATAGTAGGGTTCATTTTGACACATTCATCAATGCATATAACATAGTTTTTTCCCATTTCTTGAGGAGTATTAAATGCCCATAATACATGACTTTACAACTGTTTGTAAGTTGTAGGTGGATGTCTCTCTGAGCATGAAGAAGGACTGTGGCCATAGGTGTCTTATGCTGAGTGCAGTTGATGGCCAACTCTGTACTCTTGTCTGCATGGTCCTGAGGCCAGTGTAAGGTGTTTCCCTCACAAGGCCATGAAATCCTTGAGATCAGGGATATTACATTGTTCCTGACTCTGTCTCCAACACACATAAGATGGTCTACTTCTTTGAATTAATGTGGCATCCCCAGGTAACTTTTAGGGCTCCTCACCTCTCCTGGCTCCACATTTGGGTTTTCCGCACACCTGAGGGATACAGTGCTTTCCCAGCACAGCAGGGCTACCCGGAACACTGCTTGCCAGGTATGGCTCTAGGTCACAGAGACTCTCAGGCCAGAAGCACCCATGCAGATCATTTCGTTCTTTGTGTGAATGCCTCCGGTAGCATCCCTGCCAAATGCCTTCTACCAGCTGGCTGTGATGGTGGAGAGTTCTTCCCTTGAGTTGAACCTCAGCATGGATCTGGGTTCCTCCTCTTTTGGGCCCTTGTTAGGTTCCTCCTTCCACTTGCTCACTTTGCTTTCTAGGGAGCAATATGATTGATTGCTGATTGAGCAAAACTCCTGACTACTATAGTTTTGCTACTTGGTATAGCCTCAAAGGTACCCTGCATGCTTAGGGCTACTACTTTACCTCTGGCAACTCCTTCTAGCAACTTCCCAATTTTCTGTTCTCTAGAGATCACAAGCTGTGTCTCATGGTTTCTTTTTGCATGGCAGAGTGTTAGAATTACCTATGGCACTTGCTTAAAAAAATAAAAGTGAGTGGGGAGCGCACTTTGATTCTGGGGCATGTTCCTCAGCAGTTCTGAATTACCAAGTCAGGGCTAGTGCCCCTTATAGTTTTAATGCACCTGATATGTTTAGGAACCACCAACTAAAATGGGGACAGCCCATCCTAGAAAGCCAGAATTCCTATGAACAGCATTGCCCTTTTTCCTTCTGGAGCTGGCCCCATTCTCAGTGTGTTCCAAGCAACTGCAAAGTAATGGAAGCCACAGATGTGGACTTGCTGGGGTCTGGCATTGAGCATAGGGTTGCAATCAGATACTCTGAGTGGCCTGCTTCCCCAGACAACCCACTTCTTGGATCCCTGGGTCCAGCAGGGGCAGCTTGTACTGTGACTGGGAGAAAGAATAAGGACAAGAAGAGGGGAAGTTGAAGTGGGCATGGAGAAAGTATCCAGATGGTTAGGTCTGTCCCCAGGCCTCTGGCTAGCACTGATGAATTAGATGGAGTTTTTAAGTATAAGAAGAATGATAGAAACAGGTTTCCTAAATATGTTGGCCATGTCTGGCTTTTTTTTTTTTTTTTAGCCTACACAAAAAGTGCCCTTGTGCTTTTTATCATCTTTTTGTCAATCATGATTCACTCCCCAGGAATCTGTCAAGTGCCTCTGGGAGAACTGAGTGGAGGTAGCAGGCCTTGGTCCTGAATAGAGCAGTTGGATTGGTGGACACTGCAGATGAGATCCAGTGGCTGGTACTTTCCTGCACCTCCTTGGTCTGGTCACTAGCAGGAGGTGACTGTAATGAAGGAGTCTCCGGGTTCAGCTGGAAGACCTATTCATCAGTACCCTATCTTTGTCCGAGCCTCCTGGCGGGGCTGCAGCTGGCAGCCTGGGCTTGGCAGTAATTCCGTTGTTGGAGCTCTAGTGATTAAAAAACCATTATTGTCTCCTTGCGTGGTTTTCATTTAGTGCTTCCTAGAATGGTGCCCATCAGAAAGAGGCAGGTGTTTTTGAGAGAGACCGACCCTTAGGAATGGTGCTGCGGTGGAGATGAGGAGGCAGGGCTGGCTGAGGGGGCGGAGAGGGAGCAGTGCCTGTGAGGAAGAGAGGAGCTATGGTCTTGCTCTCGCTGGAGACAGCCATCGTTGTCATTGATCTCCATGACCTGCTGCCATCTGCTGGGGGATTCTTTGATATTCACCCGGGAGAGACATTGTGTACTTGGATGCATTGTCCTTAGGCAGGAACACCCTTCTAGTGCAAGCTTGTCAGTGCCAGGTGATTGTGGTCTTTTCATAAGGAGCAGCTCTCCAAGAAACATGTGCTTCCCCAAGAACCTGGTTTCACCCAGTGTTGTGTCCACTCTCAGGGGCTCCTAGTGTCAGTGGATTTATCATAGGCCTCCCAGGTGGGTCTTGCTCAGTCAAGCACATGTTGCTTCCCTTCTGTCCTGCCCCTTCCACGCACACTCCCTGCCTTCGAGGGTATTCTTTCATGTCTGGTGTCTAGTGAGGTGGTGAGCAGCTCTTTTGGGTACTTCTGAGATATCTAAAGTTTATAGAATCTCTTTGAGAAACTTCACCCTTGTGTTCATCCATCTTACTCTGAAGGCCACACTAAGTTTTTTCTACCTGTGATTTTATCTGGTGATCAGTGTCCTTTTTCTCCCAACAAAATGGAGATGGGGACAGAGAGAGGAAATAATGTATTCATGGAAAGCAGTCTCATGCCTCAGACATAACTATGTGAAGTCCATAAAAGTGACAGTGCTGTGGTAGGAAAATGTCCCCTTATTAGGGGCACAGAACAGTGAGACTTCTGTTTCTGGAAACAGTTCATGTTCGTCAAGCTACTACTGTAACCCAACATTTCTAGAGGTGGCTTTGTTGATGTGACCTTTATCTCTCAGTTGGATGGCCCCTTTTCTAAAGGACTCTAGAAATACACATATGCACCATGGAAGGTATCTTCTTTGTCCTGCTCAGCCAAGACCACTGCTGTGGATGACCCTTGGCACTGCCCTCTGAAAGTGTGTATGACATCCCAGTCAGCTATGAAATGCCCTGTCCCTCTGGCACCAAGGAAACCTTGCACTGTCTTACTGAGGTCATACAGAGACTTCTGTGGCCAGACCACTAGCACATGACTGTGAGGAGTTACAGGATGTCCCAGGCTCTGGCCCAAAGCTCAGCAAGCAAAGCCCAGCTGATTTTCAGACCATTGCTCCTGTCAGCCAGGTGCAACGAACAGAGCCCAGACTGCATTTTAAATCCGTAGTCTGGAATTAGGGGAGTGACTGTGCACTGCTCATGCCATGGTGCTCAATGAGGTTTGGAAATCAGTCTGTGAGCAGGTACTTTGCCCTTGGGTAACTCAGTCAGGCCTTTGACTTTGAGGTACAGAGATGGTGGATAGCTGTGGCCTCTCAGACCTGGCCCAGGTGCTAGAGATGCCCTCAGAGAGCCCTAGATGCAACTGTCCCCTCTTAGGGCTGTTTTTTGGGAGACTAATACCTAGAAACATGTCTTTTGAGCAGTGTCTTCTGTGCTCTGGCAGCTGAGGGTTTGGTGAACAAAGATGTTGTGCACACAGCCCTACATGACAGTTGTGGCTCTTCTGATGTGCATAGTAGCATAGGAAAGGCCTTCCCAGATGTCACATAGGTAGGACAGATGCCAGCTAAAAGGATGCATAGCTCTCAAAGGTTGTTGTGGGTGAACTGTGATATGTGGACTTCCTTCCGTCCTCTGGCTGGCTCCCTCAGAGATATGAGTAGTTCAAAGATCATATAGGTCAATGTTTGTTCCAGCTAGAAAGGGCTAGCAGTCAGGGAGTAGAAATGGCTTTACCTTATCTTTGAGGTGATAGGCCTCTCTTTCCCTTCCACACACCATACTCACCTTTACACAGGTGTCTGCATGCATGTTTGCATACATACACAAGATGTACTCACACATTCCTTGTAGACCACAGGAACCTAATGCATTGGGGCCTGCCTGAGCAGGGACCCACACAGAGGTCTGGTTTGGGGAAGGCTCCCGCATAACTGCACCAGGGCTGCCTGGGACTTCCCAGAGTGCAGGTTCTTAGGATTCATTTCCACTCCATGCAGCTGTCCTGACTTTGGCTTTTATAGAATTTGGGCCTAGGGTGTCTTGGGCTAGCCAGAAAGCTAAGTGGTTTGAGTTGCCAGCTTCCTACTCATGTTCTGCCTTCCTGGGAAGGAATGCCAGGCTGGGTAAGATGAGGCTTCCTATCCTAAGACTGGTCAGCTCCCTGTGCTGTTTATGCCACGTCTGTGACCAGGGAAGAGCTGGTGTCTGATTGCTGGGCAGACATTGACCTACTGAGGCCATCCTGCAGACATCCCCACCCAGCCCTAGACCTGCTCTGAGAGAATAGTGGATTTCTTAGCTTCCCTCTCCTAAATGAGGAGGACACTCTACCCTCTAAAGGAGAGTGGGAAGGTGGGTGGTGTCTGCCTACCTGAGAGCCAGGAGTTTGGGATGGGAGAAGGGAATCTATCCCAGAGGACCCAGCCTTCTCCATAAAGGATAGAAAGGAGGAACAGGAACTGGTGAAATCACCATAGGAAGCTGGAGGGAGCAGGCCCCTGGTTTGAAGGCCAGTTCAGGCCTAGATTGTGGCTGATGCTTCTACGTGGGTTTCCTAGGTCTTAGTCAAGCCTGCCCTGTTTTGGGATCTGAGAGGAGAGGCTCATTCTATTCTGATTGGGTCCAGGCTGGCTGGGAAGTCCTTGGAGCAGTTAGTCCTATCAAGAGATAAGCTCCTGAAGTGTCAGAAATATGACTCACACCCTTCAAAGTGGTTCTTAGATGGCAGCTTCCATGCTTCCTCCCTCCACCAATTGGCTCATGGAATGACAGAACCATGACTAGAGGGATTTAAAAGACTCATATGCTGTGGGGTAGACTCTACTCATATCCTGGCACCTGGTGGATAGGCTCTGAATACCCCTCTCTCATTCTGCAGTGTCTTAGATGATGAGGGCAGCAACCTGAGGCAGCAGAAGCTTGACCGGCAGGTGAGTGAGGCTGGGACTGGGTGCAAGGGCAGAGTCTGGATTGGGTATCCTCAGGCAGAGAGGGAGGGCTCTCTTTCCATGGTCCCTGGATGTTCCTATCAGATGGGGAAGAAGGGAGCCTGGGAGACTCCTGCACTGAGGCTCCACATCCCAGCATGGCTTTAGAGAGCCCCTCAGGGGCTTTCTGCTGACCTGGGTAGGTGAGGGGTTTATCCTGTTGGGTTTGTCCAAGCTGAGTATGTCACCCAGCCTAGGTGAGGCTTCTGCCAGGGAGGCAGCCTGGACAATTGCATTTGGAGGGCTGAGTTGCTGTGCTGTGGTCTTCCAAGATAGCCAGGCCTGAGTTGAGCCACCCTTTCCTGGACTCCAAGTTTGGGGACGCTGAGGACATAAGGCCTTGACACCCAACCCAGTCAGCAGGGCACTCTCTCTTACCCCGCTGTGGGAGCCCTCCTGGTGGAGGCAGGGGTGGGTGGGGGGACAACTCACCTCTGTGTCTTCCGCGTGCCTCTATAGCGGGCCCTGCTGGAACAGAAGCAGAAGAAGAAGCGCCAGGAGCCCCTGATGGTGCAGGCCAATGCAGATGGACGACCCCGGAGCCGGCGGGCCCGGCAGTCAGAGGAACAAGCCCCCCTGGTGGAGTCCTACCTCAGCAGTGCTGGCAGCACCAGTTACCAAGGTACACTCTGCTTCCTGCCCCAGGGACAGCCAGCCTGGGAGACTCCTGCATTGAGGCTCCACACCCCAGCATGGCTTTAGAGAGTCCCTCAGGGGCTTTCTGCTGACCTGGGTAGGTGAGGGGTTTATCCTATTGGGTTTGTCCAAGCTGAGTATGTCACCCAGCCTAGGTGGACAGCTGAGTGGGGTGGGTTAGAGACACCAAGCCTTTGGCCTTGTCAGATGCTGGGGCCAGAAGGCTAAAAACGAATCTGGAAGTTCAAATTTCCAGGTTTCTGATGTGGAATATTTGAGATCAGGAGGCAGCTCTTAAAAGTAGAACAGAGCCTGCTTCTCTCCTCCATTCTCTCCTGAGAGGAATCTCTCTCAGCATTGAGCACCACACCAGCTAGGGTATCAGGGCACAAATACCTGTTTCCTTCCCATCTTGAGCTCTCTATACCTTCAGTCTATCTGACTTCTGGCCTGTAGGTCACTGTCCCTGGCTCAGGACTTCTTCAGATCTGTAGTGACCAGTAGTCTTCTGCTCCCCTCCTTACACTCTCTGTTCTCAGCAGAGCCCACTTTGGGGGAATTCTCTACCACTTATCCTGCAGAGGGATGGCTCCCTTATATCCCTGCATCTGGGACCCTCACTTCTGCTTGGGTTAGGTTGAATATGCCAGGCCAGATAGTGGGTTGGTCTCTGAGATAGAGGAAGACTGAGTTGTCACTGCCCCCTGCTGGTATGGTGCTGGTCATGCAGGTGGCTATTCCAAATGCAGTAGTACCTGTGAGAAGATTGCAGGCATCTGACTTGCAGGTAGGAAGAACCTTAGCAACCATAATGCTCCCTCCCTCTGTGGCTTCTTTCTGACCTGGAGCCTCCAGCCACATGTAGCTGCTGGTAGTTTCCTTATCTCAGGACTAACCTCCATCTAACTGCTGGCTTTGTCCTCCTGCCTCAGAGTTTCTCAGGTTCTCTGTGTTACTATAACAGCCCTTAGCTCACCACACTCCCCTAGTCTGTGCTTTAGAGGGCAGCAACCATATGAATTAGAAGAAAACCACTTCATTTTTAATCATAGAAGTTGTCTTTGGACATTTGCTAGGGCTAAGCATGGGGCTAGGTGCTTTACCTGCATTATCATTTCATCCTCAGTGACTCACTAACCCCACGTTTGACAAGGCCTGGGCTTGGATGGGGCTCCACAACATATTCACAGTGTGCTGCTGGTCACAGATTAGACTTTGATACTAAAAGGTCTTTCCACCATGTTATGTTGCCTCCCTGTTAAGATACTCCTTCCTGGTAATTTCCCTGTGTACAGCATCCTGGCCACACTTAAAATATCTGTACTCCATGTGAGAGGCCCTTCAGGATCCCCTTCAGGGACCTCAGCCCAGCTCTCAGGCAGCCCCAGCTGCTCCTCATGGAACTGGCCCTTCCTGACAGCCTCTTCTCCACTTCCCCTCTGAGTGCCGTTCCAAGATGGTGCCCTACAGAGAAGGCAGCCACTGTCCTGGGTTCTATGGAGCCTCACCTGCTGCCATGTAGGCATCACAGCTCCAGCCTTGCCAAGCATCTGAGCCATCAGGATTGCATGTGAGATGGGAGCCTGCACCCATGATTTGGGGCCCTGAAACTTTGTGCCAGAGGCTACATTTTGAGGAGTCCCTGATATAGAGGCCTTTGGCAGTGTCTTTTAAATCCTGACTGGGTGAGGTGGTGCCAGGCTGGCAGGAGACTGCAGTAAGAGCAGGGGAGCACCTCTGGGGTCATGCATGGCTAGAACAGAGTTTCTGGTCCTACCACTCCATTACCTGCTCACTTGTGACTGTGGGCAAGTCACTTGTGGTCTCCAGGTCTGTATTCTCCACTATCCAATAAGGAAAAAATCTGTCTTAGGGCTTTGAAAATTGAAGGAACTGTAGAGTGTTCCAGCATGTCCAAAACCAGCTGATTGCTGTTCCCTGCTAAGACTCCAGACCAGGCCAGGCCTTCAAGGGCCTTCCCTATAGGGACATTTGATATCTGTGAAGTGTATTCCCCTGTGCTTGACTGGGGGCTGAATCTTTCTCCAGCTCTGAGTGGTAGACAAAGCTCTGGTAGGCTGCTATCAGCTGGCTGGCTGCCCTGGGCGCTGGTTTCTGAGACTACCCCACCCCTCCAATGGCATCAGCTGCCTCTTGCTCTGCCCTCTGCTGGCTCTGAGTGTTAACTACAGGATCATCCCAAGGGAGTTTGACATGGTTTATCCCAGTAAGGTGTTTGACCTTATATTGGCTGTATTTGTTCATTCTACACATTCATTCATTTCTTAAATATTTATTGAGGACCTACTTGGTGTCAGGCTCTGGATTAGAGACAGTGGTTTCTAGGCAGCACAGGTGGGTGTAGCCCTGCTCTTATGATCCAGGTGAGGAGAGTGTTAAATAGGTGACAGCTGTGCTCTGTGGAAAGAGATTGGCTCAATGAGGGGATGACAGGGCAGCTGCTCTGACTAGGGAGCTGTGGACAACTTCTCTGAACTGAGATCTGCAGGATGAGTGGGAGTTAATCAGGCAGCAGAGGCAGTACAGGTAGTGGGGACAGCCAGAGCAAGGGCCCTGTGACACAGGGGAGTACAGCATGTGCATGAGAAAGCCTGCTGTGGCTGGAACTCCTGGCTCCAGGTGGTTGAATGTGTGGTTAGACCAAGGGAAAGGGATATGGAGGAGCCAGATGTGCAGGACACTGTTGGTTTTTATCTTAAGTTCAATCAGAAACTATTTGTGGATTTCGAGCATATTGGAGTTTTGCCATGTGGAGAACATGGAGGCCACCAGCTGTTACCTTTCTGAGACTTCCTCCCAGGTGTGTGGAGTTCTTTGTATCCCACAGGTGCTCCATATTCCATGTTCCCACGGGCCTGACACCTGAGGGCTTGTGCAGGATCCTTAGAGTACTTGACCTGGCTGTGGTTCCTGCCAGAAGATGCAGCCTTTGCATTCTCTTCTGCCATTTTCCCTGGTGCATATTTTCATGGACACATTCTACCCCTGTTCAGGCTCAGAATAGTGTGTTGGACCAGAACTTTGCTGACTAATCATGGCTTTGGCCTGCCATTAACATCATCACACTGGGCTGATGGTGGCACCAGCATGCCCTGCCCAGCATTTTTGTATGGTAGAAATGAGTGGGTCTGACTCTGGGCACAAAAAGTGGCACAGGGGCCCAGGTGGGAGTAGGGGTAGGAAGTATATTCCAGTGGAAACTCTAGCCTCACCTAATATCCGATTCTTTTTCTCTGTTTTGGGTTCTCTCCTGAGCAGTTCAAGAGGCCGACTCACTTGCCAGTGTGCAGCTGGGAGCTGCCCACCCAACAGCACCAGCCTCAACCAAGAAAACCAAGGCAGCTGCTGCATCTGGGGGCCAGAGTGGGGTCTCTAGGAAGGAGAAGAAGGGAAAGCACAAAGGTTAGCTTGCCTGCTCCACAGTCCTCCCCAATAGGCCTGCCTGCCCCTCCACCGCCATGAGGTCAAGGGTAGCTTCCCTTCCTAACTTGGAGGCAAGGTCTGGGGTGAGCAGTCTCAGTGATATAGAATGGCCAACAGACCTTGTCCAGTTCACGGGGTATGTGGGCTGGCCTGTGAGTATGGGCAGACTCTCCATACTGCCAGGAACTGAAGTTCAGTTCAGCTGTTGCCCAGGATCACCCCTTCCTTCTGCCATGCCTTGACCCAAGCTCCCTCCATCCTGACGCTTGAGCCAGGACATTCCCTTCAGTGGGGGCTCACTATATCTCTTGCAGCCTGCCCCATGCTTGTGCAGCATTTGCTATTTGCTCTTGCACTCTACTCCCTGCTCTAGCCCCAGTTCCACCCTCTGAGCCAAAGAGCAGTCTGTTCCCTCTGCTCTTCTCTGTACAACAAAGATCCCCAGAGGTCATGAACAGTGATGGCAGCTCCTGCCCCAAGTTCTGGCTCCTGGCTAGACACCCCATTTCCTCAACCCTGGGTGATGGGCAGTGATTTACAGGCCACTGCATCATAGTTGGACAGTGGTATGTCAGGGTCCCTGGGCTTCTGGAGCTGGCTGCATCACTTTGAGCATAGCTCAGCTAGGCAGGGCAGCTGCCACCAGTGTAAGCTAGGCCTTGCTTCTGTGTCTGAAGCTGTCGTGCAGCAAGATTGACGTGGGATGGGAGATCCTCTGCCTAAAAAGGCAGTGTATGAAAACCAGTCTTTTCTCAAGGGCCCTCCTATGTTTTTAATGATGTATGTGAGTTACCCTGAGTGTGTGTGAGAGAGACAGACAGACAGACACAGACAGAAACAGAGTCAGAGAATATAAGCACTGATAACTTGTAGCTGGCCATGTCTGTGAGTGATTGTTGGCCTCAACTATGAACTGTGGTCTGGATCAATCCTTGTTCTCCACGTTGTTTTTTCTACTGTGCAATTGGTTTTGTAGATGGCTGCTGTCTGTCTTAAGCATGTGGGGTATTTCAGATCAACTCTTGGTAATTAATGTGGGGAAGAGCAGAAGAATTAAAGCCCATATTCCTTCACAGCTTACCAATCATTAACAGGCTGACAGCAGTTGTTAGTTTTTTTAAAAATCAGTTTTGTGAGTAAAGTTTTGCAGAGGGTCTCCTCTCACTCATCCCTCACTCCCTTCATGGACGTCTGAGAATCCAGGCCCTCTTCTCCCTCCTGGACGTGACTCAGGAGTGTCTGGCCTACAGGCACCGGCGGGCCAGCAGCACTGGCAGAAGACAAATCTGAGGCCCAAGGCCCAGTGCAGATCCTGACTGTGGGCCAATCAGACCACGCGCAGGATGCAGGGGAGACAGCAGCTGGTGGGGGCACCCTGTCCAGCCAGCAGGACCTGCGTGCCACGATGCAGAGGAAGGGTGAGCCCCGTGGGGGCCCAATTGGAACCAAAGCTCAGTCCCAGTTTCTCAGGTGCACCCTTCTCTGGGAGCATGGCCTTCCTGGGTCAAGTCCAGCTCCTCCCTGACCATGGGGGAGGGGACATACCTGGGGACAAATGACAAGTATGGGACAGGGGCCTTGATAAGGCCAAGTTAAGGGAAACTATGAACTGGGATAACCAACCCACATTCCAGCCCTATCTCATGCTCCCAGGAAGCCCAGGTTTTGGGGGCAGATTTTCTTTCCCTTTTGCTTCCTAGAAAAAAATTTTGAAAGGAGTTGCCCCTTTGTCTGTTGAGCTAGAGGGAGCAGGGCCAGGATGCTAAGAGGCAAGGCATAAAACCTGCTGCCCAGTTTCCCCACCATGAGCCCTGGTGCAATGTGGCAGACAGAAGAAGCCTGGCAGTGCCACCCACATTGTGAGAAATCTACTCAAGGATAGCTTCTTGGAGAAAGGGCTGTTGAGACAATTTGAGAGATGGGTGGCATTCCAGGCAGGGGAGGGGAATGCGGAGAAAGCTGAGATAGAGGCTCAGAGCAGGCTGGGAAAGGTGAGAAGTATGTGGCCCTGCACACCATGCTGAGGGAGAAGCTGAGGCCTTTTCCCTGGCAGAGTCTATGGCCCAAGCCAGGCAAGGCCTCTAACAGGCTCAAGGTCAGAATAGAGGTTCCCTGTGAAGGCGCAGCGCAGATGGGCTGTGATGCACAAGAGGTGGGGGTAACGCTATTGCTAGAGAGGAGAGGGGAGCTAACGCAGGGACTGAGCTGAAACTGGGTGGTGGGGATGTATCCTGAGGATTGTAACCAGCCCCAGCTCATGTGTGCATCTGAGAGAATGTTCCTCATGTGTATCTGTGTGTGTGGGAGTACATGTCACTATGTGTGTGTACATATGGCTGTGTGTGTGTCTGGGTACAGATGTCAGTGTTTGAATATGTCCACATGTGACGACATCTACTTTGGAAGGTAGATCCTCCTCACTCATCCCTCCCTGTTCTTCTGCTCACCTCAGGCATCTCCAGCAGCATGAGCTTTGATGAGGAAGAGGAAGATGAGGATGAGAACAGCTCTAGCTCCTCCCAGCTAAACAGCAACACCCGCCCCAGCTCTGCCACTAGCAGGAAGTCCATCAGGGTGAGTGAGGAGCTTCTCAGAAAGAAGTTGGATGGCAATGTTCAGAGGACTGCCTGTCCAGAAGAGGTGGACCAAGTGTGTGAGGACATGATGGAGATACCATGATAGCTCTTCTGGGGCCATGGGCAGGACCTGGTGCCTATCAGGTGCTTCTCTAACTGGGCCCTTCTGCCCTTCTACACTGCCTCCTAATATCTTCAACCAAGCTATGGACCTGGGGTGTCTGAGGACCTGCCTTTATATTCCCATCTTTAGCCCTAGGAACTGTTGAAGAGAGGGCAGGGATAAGGAGATAGCCTCTGACCCTAGGGCAGGATGGCCAGGCCCATATCCCAGGGATCCTGCCCTGTCTCCCACTACTACCACAACAGGATGCAGATTTGGAGCTCACACTTCCAGCTTTGGCTGGTGGGGCTTAGGTGCCTTCTCTCCTTGCTCATAGGACACAGCCTCAGCCCCCAGCCCAACAGCCCCAGAGCCACCAGTGGATGTTGAGGTCCAGGATCTTGAGGAGTTTGCCCTGAGGCCAGCACCCCAGGGAATCACCATCAAATGCCGCATCACACGGGATAAAAAGGGGATGGACCGGGGCATGTACCCCACCTACTTCTTGCACCTGGACCGTGAGGATGGAAAGAAGGTGAGGTTGCTCTGGGCAGGTGTTTTCAGCAAGGCAGGCTTGAGGGCCTGGGAGCTAGAATGACTGGAACCCTCAGCTCAATACTGACCCCTCAGTACTCCAGAGAAACCAAAGCCTCCATGCCTGCTTAGTACAGAGCTGTGTGTTTTCCAGTGTGTGTGTGTGTGTGCACACATGTGCACTTGGGAGTTGAAGCAAAGGCAGTATTTGTGTGAATGTGGGTTTGTGAATGGTACTTATGATTGTGTGTGGACCACAAGCTGGGTCTGAACATGACCTTGCTCCATTCCCTCAGGTGTTCCTCCTGGCAGGAAGAAAGAGAAAGAAAAGCAAAACTTCCAATTACCTCATCTCTGTGGACCCAACAGACTTGTCTCGAGGAGGGGACAGTTACATCGGAAAACTGCGGTACCAGCACTCCCCCAGGATGAAGGCGGGAATGGGAGGGAGGGGCAGAAGAGGCTCTCCTTAGAGGGCATTTCTTGACCTTGAAGATTTAAGGCAGAGTTGGATCCTTTGGCAGGATCCTCTGTCCATCAGACCCAACCACAGTCCCAGTCTATGCCCAGCCTAGGGCCAGACTTGAATTAAGCAGTTCCCAGGCATGTGGGTTCTGGCCCATCATGGGAGATGGATCACACCCAGGATGTTACTGATGATGTAGGGCAGCATGGAAAAGTTGTTGGGCCCCATGGTTAGTGCCAAGGGACAGGGCTTGAGAGTAATCTCTTGAGGGAAGAGCATCTCGGCCATCTTAGGGAGACAGAGGGGCAGGGAGGCTTTTAGCAGTGCCTCATGGGGGATTAGGGTTTGCCAAAGTAGACTACCAATTTGGGAGGCATAAATGAAGATTAGAGGTAAGTAGCTAAAGCTGGAGATGGGGCTGGATGGAACAAGGCAATCGTTTTATTCAGTCTCCAAAGGGTAAAAGATCTCTAATTTTCCTGGATACCATTATGCTTGCCCACTTCCCATGAGGGCAATGCTGTTCTCCCATGGAAATCTGTGGAATTCTGATTTACCTCCCTAAATTTCCTTAATTGAAATCAGATTCCCTTTTGAGTAAACTCAGACCAAGTCCAGGTGTTCTGCTTAGGAAGCACTTTCAAAGGTGTGAATTCAGTGAGCAGTGTGCCCCCTGAGGTCTGCTCATGGCCCAGCTCAGTGTTTTGCAGGCTCCTCATGGGACAGACTATGAGCTGTTCCCTGCCCCAGAGCAGTGAGTACATAACCCTATACTGATTGTGCCTTTCCTTCAGGTCCAACCTGATGGGTACCAAGTTCACAGTTTATGATAATGGAGTCAACCCTCAGAAGGCATCATCCTCTACTTTGGAAAGTGGAACCTTGCGTCAGGAGCTGGCAGCTGTGTGCTATGTGAGTCCTGGATTCCTGGATCTCTGGTCTCCAAGTTCAACCCACGACTTGCTGCCTGATCTGGGGGCCATCCCATCCATCTTGGTGGTAGCCAAGGCTGTGTGGATAGGGGATTCCCCCTGCAGAATGATCCCTGCCTGGGACAGGGGCCCTGTCCCTCCCCTCGCATCTTCAGTGATCAGGTGACAGCAGACTATCTTCCTAGGGACCACTGTGAACCATTCCTGGCTTTATGCAGCCTGGAAGTCTCCTGAACAGGAGATAGGAGGTAGGAGGCCTGGGTTCTGTATGTACTTGCTCTCAGATCACCTTTCTAGATGCAAGGTTCTGCATGAGTCGCAGGGCCCTTTGCACAATCATCTACCTAAGAGGTAGATCCTATTTTCTGTATATTTAGGAAACTGCAGCTAGAGTTTGAGTCATTTGTTAACAGCACAAGCCAAACTGGAATGCAAATACAGAGGACTTCTCTACCCTTCTGAAGCTCAATTTCTTTGTTTCTAAAAATGAGGGATGGTTGTTGTCCTATCCACCTACCCTGAGCATGGGCACTTCTTGGAGGCTACTGGGAATCCACAGCTAGTTTGGATGATCCTATGGTGCCACCTACTGGTCAGTTTTGGAGAGGCAGCCTTAGTTTTTCAAGTACTGAATCTTTTGTCTGTATTCTAGGTCCTGTTGAGTAGAGAATATAGTAGTGAACAGACATATATGTCTATACCCTTATGGGGTGTCTATACCCTTATGGGACTTAAACCCCTAGTGGGAGATAGAAGTTCTAAAACAGACATGTAAGAGACATAAATATGTTCCTGATCAATGCTAAGAAGGAAAAAAGGTAGGGAAGGGGGCTATGAAATGTCAAGGTGTGTGTGTACAATTTTAGGAAAGATGGTAGAGAGTATCTGATCAAGGTAACTTGAGTAAAGAAGAAGTGAAAGCCAGTTGTGAATGTGCCTGCATGACAGCCAGGGCAAAAGTCGTGAATGTCTGGCCTGAAGAAGGAATGGGAAGGAGGGCAGAGTAAATGCAAAGAGAGTGAGGAATGGGGGTCACATCATGCAAGGCCTTGCAGGTAGAGTAAGAGCTTCAGTGGACAGCCGCTGGAGGAGTTTGAGCAGAGGAAAACCTGACTTAACAGGCTGCTGCCTTTCTGTGTTGCGAACAGACAATGGAGGAAACCGCGGGCCAAGGACAGAAACAACAGTTAATGGCTATTAGATTTTGGTGAGAGATGGTGGTGGTGAACAGTAAGGAATTCTGGGTGTAATCTGAAGGTAGAGTTGACAAACTTGTTGGTGGTTAGAAGTGAGGTGTGAGAAAAAGAGAAGTCAAGTATGACTCTAGGCAGTTTGCTGGAGCAAAGGGAGTAACTGAGTTGCTGTTAACTAAAGCAAGTTAGTTCGAGAAGCAAGTTGTGGCAGAGTAGAGATCCAGGAATTCGGCTCTGGACATGTTACATTTAGAGGTGCTTAGTAGACTTTTAAATAGAGATAGTACAAACTAATATTTATTTCCTTCTCCCAGTTTCTCCAGGAGGTAATGACCTTCTTCAGGTGGTCAGTGCTGAGTTCTTTTTATTTCCTAGGAGACAAATGTCCTAGGCTTCAAGGGGCCTCGGAAGATGAGCGTAATTGTCCCAGGCATGAACATGGTTCACGAGAGAGTCTCCATCCGCCCTCGCAATGTGAGTCTTTACCCCACCCTACCTCTACCCTATCATCCCAGCCTCTGCATGAGCTTCTAAGGGCAGAACTCTTAACAGGTGTGTATATGTGTGGGGGATATAATTTGAGAAGCCCTGGAGGTCTAGGGGAATCTAAGAAGTCCCATTTCTGTGAAAAATCCCTCCTTGGGGTGGGGGTGGGGTCATGATGCCGAGGCTTGGGCCTGACTCAGGCGAGGCTGCCCTCCCAGGAACATGAGACACTACTAGCACGCTGGCAAAATAAGAACACGGAGAGTATCATTGAACTGCAAAACAAGACACCTGTCTGGAATGATGACACACAGTCCTACGTACTCAACTTCCATGGACGTGTCACACAAGCCTCTGTGAAGAACTTCCAGATCATCCATGGCAATGACCGTGAGTGTCTCTGCCCCTCCTCGTACTGTTTGTGTGATATCTGGGGCCCTTAGTTTTGGGTTCAGCTCACCTAACCAGTCCATATCGGCCAGAGTTTAGGATATGGGCTATATGGCTTAGATGAGATGTGAAGAATATTCCAACTATAATGACTGGGAGGCTATAGAAGAATCTTCTTTGGAGCCCTGGCCCTAGATTCTGTGTACTTGGCAGAATCTCAGGCATGGGAATACCCTTTAAATGGACTTTTTCTCCTCTCTGTCTCCTGGTGTTTGTATGCATCTTTCTCTTTCCTTTGTCATCTGCTGCCTCTCCCAATGATCCTTTGTTTTACCTCCTTTGGGATTTCCTTGGCATCTCTGCTTCTCACTTTTTCTTCCTCTGTGGCTTGGGTGTCTGTGCTATCCCCACCATCCCTGCTGTTTTGTTTTTCTGTGTCCATGCTTGTGCCTGGCCCCAGCGGACTACATCGTCATGCAGTTTGGCCGGGTAGCAGAGGATGTATTCACCATGGATTACAACTATCCGCTGTGTGCACTGCAGGCCTTTGCCATTGCTCTGTCCAGCTTTGACAGCAAGCTGGCCTGTGAGTAGAGGCTTCCTTTGGGGTTGCCCAGCCTGGAGTGGAGCTTGCCTGCCTGCCTGCCTGTGGAGACAGCCCTGCCTGCCCTGTTTATAGGCCTTCTGCCAGATGAAGCTTTGGCCCTCAGTGGGCTCCCTGAGGAACTGGCTCCTCTGCCTCTGCTGCTAGGGCAAGGGAGTAGTGGGTAGGTGTGAAGGGATGAGAGTCATTCTTTCTGTGCCCCCAAGGTCACCACACACCCCATTCTTGGGTTAGTATCCTGCTGTAATTGTTGGCCGAGCTGGGCAACCTCCTCAGCTGGGAAGGCTGCAAGAGGCATAGAGAGGGAGGAAGCACAAGCAAGGCTGCGGTGGCCCAGCTGTCTACTCATCTAGGAGTCAGATGACAACAGGTGCCCCAACAGGGGCAGAGAGTGTGTATGTGTATGTGTGTGTGTGCACGCACACGTGCGTATTTGCATGTATGAGTAGGGCACATTAACTTATGTAGCAGAGGGCTTGGCAGCCAAGCCTGGTCCCTTCAACTGCAGAAAGCCTTCCAACTTCAGAAGGCCCCAGCCAGGCCTGAGGGAAGTTAAGGGAGCAGTGGGGATAGATGAGTGGCAGGACAGCCACTATGGCAAGGGGTTCCCTATCTGGCTGTGGGAATCAGCTGGTGGTTTAGAGTTCTAGCTAATTTTTCTCCAGGTTTGTTCTGTGCTTGCAGAGGCAAAGGGAACCCACCTCTTAAGGCCAAATATCTTAATAGATGGGTACTACAAGAAGTACATGGATAGGCTCCCTGGACAGGGCTGTCCTGGGGGCCCTGCCAACTGGCCCAGGAGCTCTCTGCTGAGCAGCCCCAGTGCAACCCCTGGGAAATGCAGATGGGAACCAGGTCACCAGCCCTTGCTGGAAAAGTACCATTCCCAAGCCAAGGCATGCTCCAGGAAGAATCTTACCTCTCTCTGGAAAGACCCAGCTGTGGGTGCTCTTGACTGTGTTTCAGCTCTCACTGCTATCAGCCAAATTATGGTTGTTGAAGGCTATGCGTGGTTCTTTTTGGAAGGGAATGGGACAGGGTGAGGAAAGGAGAGACTATTTTTAAATCAAGAGATCAGAGGTGGCAGGACACTTAGAGATCAACTTGTTGCTTTCAGTGAATCATGTTGAAAAATGGGACTTTCCCTGGGTTAGTTAGCTGGTTTAATGACTGAGTTCATAATCTCAAGTTCTTTCATTTGTTTCCACTTTCCCCCAAGAAACTAGTATCTATGGCTCTCTGGCCTTATGGAGCCCATTCTGCATGCCCTTTTCCCTTCCTGATTCAAGAGATTTAGACACATCCTGGTTGGTATATATGACGGAAGCCATTTCAGTAGAGAATTGGGTATTTCCCTGTTGGAAATTGTCTGGCTTTTTTGCATGTCAGTCTGATCAGGATTGGCCTTTGTCCGGCCCCTCCATGAGGACTGCACAGTTGTGAGCAGACCTTAGCAAGCTGCGACACAATTCTCTGTCTAGATGTGACAGGCAGCCTAAGCGTTACAGGACTTGGCCTAAACGTTCCCTCCACTGCCACTATTTCTTGGATGGCACCATCCACCCTACAGGCTTAGGGACTCTAAACTCTTGTTCAGGCTGTTTACCTTGGCAGAGTCTTCTTACCCAGATAGTGATCAGAAATCTGTGGGAAGCAAACAGCAGTTGGACCTTGCTTTAGAGTAGAAATGCTTGGAAGGGCTAAGTAGAAATTTTAAATAAATACAAGTCATACTTTAAACATATTAGTGAGGCTCTATAGGTGAAGTTGTTTTGACTTAAGTGGAATTAGTATGCTCTCATTTTTGTAATCAACATTTTTCTATGTGAATGCTTAAAACAAGGCACACCTGCTTTTAACAGGAGCTGCCCACACCTAAACCATACATCTCTCAAGAGGCCCCTCCTGTAACCTAGCCTTTGTTAACATGGTCTGGTTTTTAGAGAGCATCAGGACTTTCTGTTCTGGTGCTGGTTCACTTCCTGATGAAAGATTGTGGTGCCATCCTCCCTTCTGTAGTTCTCATTTGGCTTTTCCTTCCCTGACTCTGGAGACCTCTTGATACTTGACTTGTTGGAAACCAGATGATCTCTAAAGTCTGACCAAGCTGTTTCTTTAGGCCTATGACTTTAAGGTAGAATAGGCTGAATCTGGAGTCAGCGGCAGAGTGAAATAATCAGAAGCACAATGGAAATACTGTGGGCCTCTGCTCTCTGCTTCAGCACACATGTCAGTGGGGTAGCTGGCTATTTTGGTAGGGTCAGGAGATGTAGGCTGAGCTTTCTAGCCTGGGAGTAAAGGGGAGCCTTAGCACAAAATCTTCTGGGCACTGGTGACAAGCAAGAGCAGTTGAGTCACTTAATTAAGACCAGCCTCACAAGGTCAGCTCTTAAGACCCCATTCCTGGTGTTGCTGCCTTTCCTTGACCACTGGCCCTGTGGCCAGGGGCCCATGGACTCACAAAGCTGCCAAGGCCCTGGAGACCACCTGGGTTTAGCCTCTCTCACGGTAAGAGTTCCTGCCCTTCTGCCCAGATGGTCCTTGATTGGACAGTGAACCAGTGATAGGATAAGCAGTTCCTAAAGATGTAGGGCAGCTGGGACCTTAGGCAGCTCCTCTATACCTACTCCTGGCTCTGTACCCCAGAACTCTATACTTCTGCTCCCAAATGGTTCCTCTACTCTCCAAGTCTAGCTCCCCTACCCCTCCTTCTGGCTCCAAGGTGCTCTGTGTCCATCTGTGGTGTGTGTGTGCGTGTGTGTGTGTGCACGCGTGCACGCACACGTCAGCATGTCTCTTGTATCTGGGGAAAAGGGCAGCAATCTGCAGTGAACTGAGGTTTCTTATCATATTTCTAAGGATGAGTAGGAAAAGAATAAGGATGCAGTTAACAATCCCTGTGGCTTCTGTCTCTTCATTTCATGCTCTTTGAAAGAAAGTGTTCCTGGGAAATTACCAGCTTTTATCCCAAGTTTCTGAGCAGGAGGAGACCATCTAAGAAAGCTGTTAAGTCATTCAGTTCCCACCTGGCATTATCAGAAGAGATTGGTCTGTTGCGTACATACTTTTCAGATGAGTCTGAATATATTCTAGTGACGGTGCCTTAAAAATCACACTAGTTCAGGGGAAGCATGTAAGGTCCAGATCCATGAGGACAGGTGTTGGGAGTCAAGGGGTGTGATGTGGGCAGGCTAGAAGAGAACTCTTGAAGCCCACCTCCTAACAAGACTGTAGAAGCAGTTTTTCTTCATACTGGAAATAGCAAGACATTTGCTACTAAAACACACTTACCACTTATGTAGAGGTAATTCTAAATTTAACAAGCAATAGGGGTGATTTTAGAGGAAAATATTCATGCTTTGTGCAGATGGGGTCTGCATTGAGTGAAGGTGCTGGGATAGCCTGTCTATGGCTCTGTTATGCAAGCACAAATTCCATCTCTTGGATGGATGCCCTGGTTTTCCCTTACCACAGTAACCTTGACCTTCCCTTCTCTATAACTCCATGCCCCAGCTGGAACATCCCTGTGACCTCAAGATGCCAGGTGGCCATCAGAGCACATTCTTCCAGGGAGCTGAGTTTGCTTTCCTATGATACCTAGCACTGTGACTGGGGCCAGTTACATTTCCCTGGGCCCTGGCTTGTAAGCTTGTCACAGCTCCCAGTAATAGGCCAAGGAATGGTTTCTTAAGTTCGAGTTTTGGCAGCCTGCCTTGTGTATCTCCAGTTTGCAATTTTCTGTCATCTTAAGATATACAAGGGAGGGACAGAAAAGAAATATTGACGAATTGGTTTTAAGTTTCCAATGAAATGGAAAGATATGTTGGTCTTACAGAAAGTAGTACTGAACTTAGTAGCTATATGATTTTGAGCAAACTGCATGAACTCTCTAGGTCTGTTTTCTTAATTGAAGATGCTGGATTATCAAAGCTTGCTGTAGGATTCAGGGTGAATGAAATTTAATTTCATCACACTACCTTTTCTAGCTCATCATTGTGCCTTCTTTCTTAAGAAAGACAATGCACCCCTCTCCTTTGTTCTCCTGTCCCCCACCCCCCATCAAGGTCCAGGTAGAGCTGGAGGTGAGGCTAAGGTCCAGAGTTCTTAGAGAGCAACTCAGAATGGCTTAGAAGGGGAAGCCCAACTCTGGCCTCTTCAATCCTACATTTGAAGATAGAGGGGACTTGGTCAGGATGGGTAACATTCCTCTTGCTGGGAACACATATTTAGCCAGTTTTCATAATGCCTAGAATGTGTATGTCTACTTGCACAAGATTGTCTTTTCCTATTTTGGAGTGGTCAGACATTTTATTTTTGTTCAAAATTATCTGGAGTTTTAGACAAACTTGCAAAACTGTGCTTTTATTAAGTGACTTTTTGAATAAACTTTTTTGGTATTCTGAAGCAAATGTATTTATTTATTGGTATGTGCAATGACAAACTTGGTATTTTCCCATATTGACATTATGTATGTTGTAGAATGTAGTGTTTGTCTGAGTACATATATCAGCAAATTAAACTTGAATTGTTTCAACACAAATGTGCTCTTTTTTTTTTTTTTAATAAAAGGAGAAAAACATGTCTCTTTCCTTAAATATTTTTCTACACCAGTTGTTTCTAGGAGTCTCAAGTGGTTAGATGGGTGGTAATAACAAAGGGATCATAGCTTGTTTAGAAGCACTGATGTGGATCAACACAGCCTTCCCTCTGGCTATGCCTTTTAAGTTCAAGGATCATCAGAGCCACACTCAAGAGGTCGCTAAAGGGCTCAAGATAGGTTAGAAGGTATTTAAATTACAGCAGTCCTTTTCAGGGTCAGTGGTGACATCTGAAGGAACCGACTGGGGGTTCCCAAGTATCCCTTGTGAGCCTGGCCCTGGGGAACAGGATTTTAGGGCTTAAAAAATGTGGGAAAGGCCCAACAGATATAACATGAAGACCCAGGCACTTGACTCCTCAGCCTTATTCATTTTAACAGGATTTGCACATGCATGAAAATTGTTTCTGCAGCTGTGGCAGATTTGAAGTAAAGAGAATAGAGGCTAGAGTTGAGCCTGGAAGCAGACATGAAAAGCTAATGATCTGATCCTAAAGGAAATCACAACTAAACTCGCCTAGAGACTACAGCATGACTGTCAGCCATTCCTAGCAGTCAAGGTAGCTAGCTGTAGAGTGTCTAGTGTGATGACTCAGCAGAATAGGACTTGAGGACAGAGTGATGACTTCTGTTGATGTTGTCACTAAGCACTTATCCTGTGCTTCATGCTGGGAGGGACACTAAACAATATCTAATCCTAAGAGCCCTGAAAGGTGGGTATTATTCCCAATTCATAAATGAGGAAACTGGTGCTCTGAAAAGTTAAATTATCTAATTAACATTTTTTTCTATTTTCTTTGTCCAAGAAAATGGAGAGAGGTAAGTACATAACCGAGGTGATGGCATATGTGTCATTCATGTTTTTCTCAATATTGCTGAATAGCTGACATCCTAAAATTTCCTTTGGAATACGAATAGTCTAAATAAGTAATTTAAGAGTGTGGTAATGAGTGGGTTTTTTCCCCCCACAATGAGAATTCTGATGTGACTAAGGGCATTTCCTGCCTGAATCATGGCCTACCCACTGTGGCCTCTGTAGAAAATAGCATATATAGGAAATTCTTCAAAAGGAAAGTTTTTGTTTGTTTAGGCATCAAATTGAAGAAACATCTTCACTGATCAGACCTATGTCCAGGGTAGCACTGGTCAAATTTTAGTCTCTTTGACATAATTATTATTAAAGCTTCTTTTTCACAAATAATCTCAGTTTGAACCATAAGTTTATTTGATCATTCAAGCCCACAGTGCAGAGAATGAGGGGTTTTTTTTTTTGGCCGGGGGGGCGGTGATACCAGAGATTGAACTCTGAGGCACTCAACCTCTGAAACACATCCCCAGCCTTATTTTTTGTATCTTATTTAGAGACAGGGTCTCACTGAGTTGCTTTGAACTCACAATCCTGTCTCAGCCTTCCAAGCTTCTGGGATTACAGGTATGTGCCACGATACCCAGCAAGAATGTGGTTCTTAAAGCCATTATTTCTAGAGGCCAAATATACCTCTTCAGCATACTTCTCTGGACCCAACTTCTGAAGCAAATAAGACGCTTTCCTTGTGTTGCTGGTGTGACTAGGAGAAGGGATCTCCTGGCTGGATTACCTACCTGCTTTACCAAGCATGATCCCAGATAATGTATTGTTGATTAGGCCAATTATCTGCCCCCTAATTGATGCTTTATGTACTCTGCCACAATACCTAAAGGTCACTACAAACCTAGTGCCAGGGGAGTGATCAAATTTTAGTCCCTTCGTTCTGAGAAATGAAGACACATCAACAAACATCAGTCTCATAATTTTGGTCACCCTAAGTTTGTTTATTTATATATATATATATATATATATATACACACACACACACACACATACACACACATACATACACACACACAGAATTGTCATTCCTAAAGGATAAAATAATTCAGAAAATCCAAAAAACACTGTCTAAATCCTAAATAACTAAAAGTTACGTTAAAATTTTGGATACAGAAACAAATATATTCCTGATAGATAAACCAACTAAGATCTAGGTAGCAGGAGCCATGATGAGGGTTTAATGCTTTTGGCAGGAACTATTTCCATAAGCCATTTTTTCCCATAGGGTATCACTTACAAGATTGGTTATGCAACACTTTACACACCAGCCTCATCAAGATACCTGAACATCCATATACTTTCTACTTCACTGCTTTTGCTAATACTATTTCCTTGCCCACTTGGAGAAATTCTTGGCATACCCCAAGGTCCACCTCTGAAAAATTTCTTGGAAGCAGTTTTGGCAATATTATTTCTCTTTCCTTAATGTTCCTGTAGTTTTGGGTCCATACCAAATCACAGCATAAAACACTGTATAATAAAACAGCTATTACTCAATGAGTGGTTATCATGCATGAATTAGAAGCAATGCCATTTTAAATGCACTGATGATTTCATTTAATACTTAAAACCTTGTGAGACCTGGACTTTTATTATGCTTACTTTATAGATGAAAATGCCAAGGCTCAGACTGCCCAAGGAGCTGACCCAAAGTTCTATAGCTAAAGTATACAGGGAAAGATCATGACCCATTTTCCTCTGCCTTCAGAATTCACAATCTTGATTCGTCTTACAGTTCATAGTTCATTTTATCTGTCAGGCTCCTATGTTAAATTGAGGTGGGGTTTATTTTGTTTGTTTGTTTTGTTTTAAAAGTAGGAACTGAGTCGTCTGTTCCTAGTACCTAGCACTGAGCAGTTAGTTGTTTTAAGTTTTAAATGAATTCATTCTAAATGAATGACTGGATGAATAATTGAAAGGAAAACAAAAGTACTTATTTCTAGTAAGGGAATCACATCCTAAGGCAAAAAAGAAATTTAAACCAGAGACCCAGGGCTTTACTTATAAATCAGCCCCTCATGGTGAATGAAGGAAAATCACACAGAAAACAATTTACCAAATGGTGAAGAGGACCCTACATTATTTTTACCTTTAGTATTACATGACATTCTAGGTTGTCTTCTGTACATTTTAAATAGCATTCTTTATAATGTAAAACAAATGTTCTACACAGAGATAGATGCATTGTGGTCTTCTTTCTAAGAACTCATCTTCATTGACTTTTATGTACAGTTCAATTAACAAGTAATGCCTTGTAGTAACTGACATACCTTCTGACAGTAGTCTAAGCTTACACGTGTGATTTTAACTATATGCTGGGCATCATATTCGTGCCAGGCACAAAGGAACTCTAAAATCTATATCTACCTTCATACAATTTCTTAAGTTTTCCATCTTTCTCATTTTATAATGTGATAAAATGTCCTCAGGAACATGTCCTCTTAAACTCTCAGGTCTTACATATAAACTGAATTCACTCATCCTTTTTGTCAGAATTCATAGGTGCCACCTTGTCTCACGAGCTGAATGGTAGCTTAAAACACGTTTCCAGCCTGGTCAAAATCCTCCCAGTCCTAATTTACTTCCTACATTCCCCAGCTCTCTCAAAAGACCCAAACATTCAAATAGAGAACACATGGTTTCTTCCCCAAGGCATGGCTATATTGGTTCTCTGTGATGGATAACTGTGCAACTTCCCTGCTATGTTGGCACTTTGTGTACAAGCTCAGTCCTCATTTCTGTCTTGATTCATGCCGTTTTGAGAACAATTTCCCAATGGGCACAATGTTAAGAAACAGCTTTGAGGCAAGGACTATACAAGAGTGCACAGGTTCTCTTATTACTGGGTCCCTGACATTCTGAGCTCTTCCCAGCAGGATCACTACACTTGGGCAGGCCTTCCCAGAGCCCAAACAGCCCCTGTAGGGCAGGGACTAAAGTCTCTAAAGCTTCCTCTGGCTGCTGAAGACCAGAGGTACAAAGATGCCTCTGGGTTTCCCTGGTCTTTTAAGCAGAAAAGGGGATAGAATAGCAGAATAGAAAGGAAGCTAGAAAACCAGGCCATGTCAGAGCAAAACAATACCCAAATAGGCCTGCAGGCTCATTCACAGGTCAGTGGTAAGTCTTCCACTATTCCGGAGAAAAGAGGATGTCTGAGAAAAGAGAATGTCTGGGCATCAGTGTTTTGAGAAAGACCTTCACTGAATGAAGAAGTTTCAGCTCAGCCAGCAGAGTCTTGCTCTGCTCTAGGACCATGGACCACACAAAGAAAATGATCACTTCTCCCCAGAGGACCACTATCCTGCTCAAGACCCAAAGAATAAGGCATCCTGAAGTCCGAAATCTTCACTTTTACCACTTTAAGTCCTATCATCTGTAACCGAGTTCATTCACAGGTAAACCTGTTGCTCCTAGCAGGAAGAGTCAGACCTTTTGATAGTCTCATATGTAACTATGGTAGACCAAAGAATTATTCCATGGATCAACTTCCCTGATGGGGGAAAAACAGGAAGAGGAAGAGTGAAGCTATCCTGTGTTTATACTAATGACTATGTTTTACAAGGTGACAGGTGTGTAAGCACCAGGAAGGATACATGATATCCATGGTAGTGGCCTGATAGCTATGACATCTGAACACAGAAAAGAAAGTACAGGGCATGAGGCCAAGGATGAAATCAGAGAGAAGAGAAAGGTCACCTTGGGACTAAAGTAATGGATACTTCACCAAACTGGCTGCTTTCACTCTAAACCCTGGGGGTTACGCTTCCTCAACACGCCACTTGTAAATGTTTTATCAGCATTGACGCCCAACCCTTCATCTCTAAAGTCTTCAGGAGAGTCCTCTTTGGAGGCTTCCTCTTGCTCACTGTAGCTATCTGCACTGAATCCAGCATTCTCTGCCAAGACAGCAGGATCTTCTTCATGAAAACAGCAGGAGCATGTTTCTGGCTTTGGGTCACACAAGATAACAGAATTATCCTCCTGGGCTCTTGGGTCAGTGGGCAGACCTTCCCAACCCAAGTGGTCTGATTCTTCCTCTTCCATCACTTCCATTCTTTCAGCTATTTCTTCAGCAGAGGGCTCTTTTGGATCAGGGTAATCCACCAGGATTGTTTCTTGTCTACGTTTGATACAGTCTGAAAGGTCATAAATTGGATAAGTTTCTTCTGGATAACCTAGAGAGAAAAGCAGCACAAAATCTTACAAAGACTGTCTCTTCAAAAAAAGTATTAGGCTCAGAGGGGATTCTCAAGCAATGGCCATCATATCCTAACAAACACATTCAAGAAATCTCTAAGATGATTCTAATAGTTCTAAAGTTTCAACTGAACAAATTCCTAGCAATCTGGCTGACTATCCCAGGGCTCTCTGAAATACAAACCAATTCAGAGGAAAATCCTTTCTTAGTGTAGGGTGCTTGGGACAGAGTTCAGTCTCACTCCATGTGCTTTTGCAGTATTGATGAAGACTGAACAAATAACATGAGCCTGTAGTTTTAAAAGGCATCAAATACCAGATGGAGAGAGCTTAGCTTAAGGCTAATGTTTATAATTTCTATTTGGAATCATTTCCAAATCTTCTGAGGTGAGGGTGGGAGGAGAAGAACACTAAGCTCTTTGAAAAATACACCATGAAATTTTCTACTTATCAAAACAATTGAAATGGCTTGCAAGCATCAGAAACAGAGGGCACTTTAGCAATACATGCCCAAGATCCCAAAGGACAAGCACTGCATTTTCAGAAGACAGAAGTCCATTGTTGGCTTCTTCGTCTTCACAAAATGGAAGAAAACAACAAACTGGTAAGCAAAATGAGTAACACTGATTCTGAATCCTAGCTATGATAATGAGAAAAGAGAAAACATTGCCAAATTAAGGAATGAAATGAAATAAATCTGTGTCAGCCAAGCCAAGCTTGAGCAGCAGATGGGCCGTGCTGGAGCTCATATGCCTGAGCTGGCAATGTGGGCCATACTCACTACACAATGTGAAAAGCTGGAGAATTCAAAATCCATTTGCACATTATGATAACTGGCAAATTCAACTCTAACATAAACCACTTTTTGCCCACCAATTGTGAAAAATAACAGTCTTTTTTGGTTCAGTGTAGCGTATGCAGAGATATTTTTATAACATTTACTGTTTTTTTTTCTGATTATAGAAGGCATATAGACTCACTGCAGAAAATCTGAAACAATACAGACATGTTTAAAAAAGAAAAACAAATCACCCATAATCCCACCACTGATGATAATTTGTTGTATTTACCTCTGGTCTTTTTACCATATATAAATGTTTATATATTTTTTTTCTTTTTTAAATAAAGGATCATACTGCATATAAAATGTTGATTTTTCATTCAACCTTGTTTCATGAACATTTTCCAGCGTCATTAGGCATTTGAAAGTTTGCTGCAAAATATTTCATCATGTAGCTATACAACTGACACGATTTACCATTCTTCTTATGTTAGACATTCAGATTCTTTCCAACTTTCCCCTATTATAAGTAACATAGCAGTTAAGAGCTCTGAATATAAATTCATGTTCACTTTCCTGATTCTTTAAGACAGACTTCTATAAATATGAAAACTAGACCAAAGAGAACGGACATTTTAAAAGCCCTTTTAATACTCTGCCAAATTACTTTCCAGAAGAGTGGTATAAAAATTCAATCCTACCAGTGATGTAAAAAAACTGTCCATCTTATTACATTCTTGCTAGCACTGACAGTAGTATAAGAATCTTGCCAAAGCAGTCTTTATTCCCAGGATGAACTTAGTGTGAACAAAATGCTAGTTTAACAATTCCTGTGGTCTAGGTGTTTGCCCCCTCCAAAACTCATGTTGAAATTTAATCCCCAAAGTCATATGTTTTTAAAATTTTATTTATTTATTCTAATTTGTTTTATATGATAGCAGAATGCATTTCAATTTATAGTACACGTATAGAGCGCAATTTTTCATATCTCTGGTTATACACAAAGTAGAGTCACACCATTTGTGTCTTCATACAGGTACTTAGGGTAACAATGTCCATTTCATTCCACTGTCTTTCCTACCCCCTTGTCCCATCTCCTCCATCCCCTGCCCTGCCCTATCTAAAGTTCCTCCATTGTTCCCATGCTCCCCACCCCTGCCCCCACTATGGATCAGCATCCACTTATCAGAGAAAACATTTGGCCTTTGGGTTTTGGGGGATTGGCTTACTTCACTTAGCATGATATTCCCCAACTCCATCCACTTACCTGCAAATTCCACAATTTTTATTCTCCCCAAAGTCATATATTAATTGTATTTGGAGACAAGCCATTTGGGAAATAATTAGAATTAAATGAGGTCATGAGGTAGGGTCTTCATGATGGTATTAATGGCTTTATAAGAAGAGTAGGCAAACCTACTCAGTCTTTACCTTTGACAACATGTCAGATCCAGCAAAAAAGACTTCACCAGATGACAAGCAGATGCTGACACCATCATCTTGTACTTCCAAACCATGAGCTAAACAAATCTCTTACTTTATCAATTATCCAGCCTGTGGTATTAGGTTATAGCAATAGAAAATGTACTAAAACAGCTACACAAGGCCTTCACCACCTACTTGGTCAACAGCAGGGCTAGGGAAGCCTACTTGCTAGTTAGGTCTCAACCACTAAATGCTTCGGAGAAGTCTATTTGTTGTACGTCATTTCCTTCAGCCTACACCTAGAACAAAGCTTACCTTTGAATTTTGACTATGGTTTAAGAAGACTCAGGCTCTAAGCGCAGTCCAACTACCCAGTTCTAGGCCAGGCCCCATAAGCCCCACCCATAAATAAGCTAGCCACTATATCTCCATAGTCCAACACACCCAGGATCCAGGCCCATCCCAACAGACCCTAGTGCTGGACCAGTCCCTTTAACACCAGACCCCAGGATCACCTCTGTGGACCCAGGTTCTAGGTCAGCCCTCATGGCCCCAGTTTTCAGGCCTATCCCCTGCATATATTCAGGCTCCAAAACTGTGCAGCACCAATCCAAGCTGCAGACTCAGGCTCTAGGCTTATTCCTGAGGGACCAAGCACCAGGCCCACCATAGAACCTGCCTGCCTTCTGCAGTCTCAGTCTCAAGAACAACTCCAGCCCCAGGTCAGCCACTTGGACTTAAGCTTCAGGCCAGACCACCACAGATAAAGATTCTAGGCCTACCCTTGTAAACCCAGGTTCCAGGCCCACCCCCAAGGACTCAGTCAATAGGCTGATGCCAGTGGATCCAGGCTCTAGGCCCAACTACAAAGACTCAGCACCAGATCAGTCAGCCTGAAGACTCCATCAACAAGCCCACCATGGACCATGACAAATGGCCTGTCCAGAAAAAGTCAGTACACAAAGACTAGAATAAATCTTTGTTTCTTCAAGTGTGCAGACCAACATACAATGTGTTGAATATATTTAAGAAACAAAAAGACCCAATTACATGCTGCCTACAAAACACTTCACCTTTAAAAAACACACACAGGTTCAAAGAAAAGGATGTAAAAAAGACATACAGCAGATGCTAATATTTATATAAAACAGATGTTAAGTAATAACAAGACAAAGAAGGTCATTATATAATGATAAAGAGTGAATTCATCAAAGAGATATAGTAAATTGCTAGATATATATAAATATTGCTATATTTATACATATATATATATATATATATGTAAATTGCTAGATATATACAAACTACCAAGACTGAATTAGAAAGAAATAGAAAATCTAAACAGACAAATAATGAACAAGGAGATTGAATCAGTTAATTAAATAATTTCTTAACAAAAGCCCAGAACCCAATGGCTCCACAGCTGAATCTACCAAACATTTAAAGTAGAACTAACAGCAATCCTCAAAATCTTCTAAAAAACTGAAGAGGAGCGAAAACTTCTAAACTCATTTTACAAGGCCAGCACTACCTGGATACCAGAGTCAGGTAAGGAGCTCATGCTTCCTGATTAAAGAAACTACTGAAAAGCTATAGTAATCAAAACAGCATAGTAACAGTATATAAAAAAAGATATAAACACCAATGAAACACAATAGACCAGAAATAAATCCATACATTTATGGTCTAAAGATTTTTGATAAAAATGCCAAAAATACACAATAGATAAATAGTCTCTTCAATTAATGATGCTGAAGAAATTGGATATATCCACATGCAGAAAAGTGAAATCAGACCTTCATCTCACATCATATGCAAAAATTAACTCAAAATGGATCAAAGTCTTAAATGTAAGACCTGAAAATATAAAACTACTAGGAGTAAACAGGGAAAAAGTTACATGATACTGGTCTGGGCAATATTTTTGGATATGATCCCAAAAGCCTATGCAATGATATGAAATTAAAAAGCTTCTGCAGGGGCTGGGGTTGTAGCTCTGTAGGAGAGTGCTTGCCTAGCATGTGTGAGGCCCTGGGTTTGATCCTCAGCACCACATAAAGATAAATAAATGAGATAAAGATATTGTGTCCATCAACAACTAAAAAGTATATTTAAAAAAAAGTTTCTGAAGAATGAAGTAAACAGAGTGAAAAGATAGCCTAAAAACAGAAGAAAATATATGCAAACCACACATCTGATAAGGAATTAATTTCCGAAATTCATAAGGAACTCAAACAACTCAAAAGCCTGAAAACAAATCACCCAACTATAAAAATGGGCAAAAAAATTGAAGAGATAATTCTCACAAGACATGCAAATGTCCAACAGATATTAAAAAACATCCAACATTACTAAGCATTGGGAAAATACAACAGCTATTAAAATATGACTCAGATGTTTAAGAAGAAAATATGAATAGATGAGGAGAGAAATGAAAGATATGAAATGGAAGTTCCCAAATGGAACTTCTAGAGATAACAACACAATGTTAGGATTAAAAATACATTGAATAGGATTAACAGCATGTTAGAGTACTATAGAAAGAAAGAGCAATAAGCTGGAAGATGCAACAAGAGAAACTATTCAAATTAAGCATCGTGAGTAAAAATGACAGAAACAAATGAACAAACCATATGTGACCTGTGGGGAAATAGCAAACGTGTACCATTAGAAAGCCAGAAGAAGATGACAGAAACAGATTACTAATGAAATAATGGTAAAAAAACAAAAAACAAAAAACTGATCATGGATCTAACCTTCCACCTTAAGAAA